TTTCTATATTTATTCCAGACAATTCCAATCAAATTAAATAAAATTTTCTTTATAGAACTAAATAAAATAACACTAAAATTCATTTGGCAGGGAAAAAAAAGCTAGGATCAACGTAAAAGCCTTACAAGATTTGAAAAGCAGAGGAGGGTTAGCCCTGCCAAACTGGGAAATATATCATACAGCAGCCATTTTACTATGGATAAAGGAATGGGTGAATCTAACCAACAAAAGAACACTAATATTAGAAGGCCATGATATGTAGAAAGGATGGCACGCCTTCCTGTGGGAAACTGGGAAACCCAGGCAATCATATTTCCATAGGCACCTTATTAGGGACTCGCTATTAACCAATTGGAAAAAAGTACGTAAAAAACTCTATCTAAAAATACCGATTTGGCTTTCTCCAATAGAAGCAATAGTACACCCTAATAATTTGGATATAACTAAAATGATTAAATACGAGAATTTATTAGACCCACAAGGAAAGCTGAAAACAAGACAAGAATTACAAGAGCGAGGATTTACAATTGATCAGTGGGTGTACCTTCAAATCCATAGTAGATATAAACAAGATATTAAGGAATTCGGAATCTACAATAAATTGCAGACTTTAGACAAAATTCTATTAGGACCGAATAAAAAATATATATCTAAATTCTACAAACACTTATTGGAAACGGAACTAGAACAAGAGATTGTCAAGGGAAATATGATCGCGTGGAGCAGAAACGTGGGACGGAGTATCACCCTAGCAGAATGGGAAAGGATCTGGAATAGGAACATTAAGATCACGAAATCAGCAGCTTATAAAGAAAACTCATACAAAATGTTTTATAGATGGCACCTGTTCCCTTCAAGATTGGCGAAAATGCACCCCAACACGAGTCCCAAATGTTGGAAATGCCAAAACATAGAAGGTACCTTCTTCCATATGTGGTGGTCATGCAAAGAAACTCAGAAACATTGGCAAAAAATTAGGCATTGGCTAGAGGAGATTACTAAGGAACAAATTGAGTACAAACCAGAGTCCTTCCTTCTAGGAATTTTTGATAAACAAGTATCCAAAAAATCGAAGTATATTATAATTCATATCCTAACCGCGGCCAGACTGGCGTTCGCTCAGTGCTGGAAATCACCTTCTATCCCCACTGAACAAATGATCATTCAGAAAATTTTAGAATGCGCCGAAATGGACAAACTAACCCAATCATTTAAAAATAAAGAATCCTCAACCTATTATAACAATTGGAATCCTTGGTACAATTGGCTAAATCAAAGATAGACTATTTCGAGAAAAATTGTAGCCAAGGGCTACCTAAGCAGAGTTAATGAAAAGTACCGCTGACGATATATTTGAAGAAGAAAGGATCTTACAGACAGTCACAAAAATATGGTTTTATTTTAACTGTTTTTCCCATTCTATCCCCCCTTTCCCTTTCCCTTCCCTCTCCTCCCTCATTTGCCCTTCTCTCTTTCCCTCTCGGCCTCTGCCAAGGCCTGTTTGCTTTCACTTCTGTATATAATTTGTAGATGTGTTGTTTTTAATGGTAAAATTAATAAAGTTTTTCTAAAAAACAAACAAACAATACCATGAGACTCAATTGGACAATGTGACCTGTCACATTGGAGGAGGGAGAATCTAAACTTTAACTGTGTGGGTTTGCACGGGAATTACTTAGATCTGGTTTTGCTGTCATCTGTGCCAAAATAAGGTACTCAATAAAGTTTTGCATTAGGAGATTGGATCGTCTCGGCCATGCTTGCTTTGGTTGGGTTTCTCAGGCAGAACGTTGACCCTAGAGGCCCCCTTTTGGGCTGCTGCATTCTGAACCAGATGGAGCTTTCAAATTCTCTTCAAGGGCAACCCCTATATACTACAAAAAAACATTGTTTCTGTTTAAATTTTAATCTATATAACTTTGGCAACAAACATACCTCAATAAGCATGACATATAAGGTTTTGGGGGGTTAAAATCATGCATTATCCCCCTAGAGCTAGGTTTGGAGCATACAGGTAGAACAACTGAATAGGTAAATACCTACTTCTCTCAATCTTTGTGGAATTCTTCCAAGTACACCAAACGTCCCAGAAACACCTTTCAAGGAGTAAGCAGGTGTAAGGCTTATGAAGAGCTTCACTCTATCAGTGAGGCAGGGCAGGATCGCAAAAGCCACAAAACCTGCAAAAAAGGAAGGATTAAAACTGCAGGATTGTATGATTCCTCTATTTACTTTTAGTGATGACCTGAATCTTATTCCTCTTTTTGAGAAAATCTCCCCCTCCCCCACACATACGCGCACACACACAGACACCAAAAAATTAAACCCCACAATTTTTACATTTCTAAGGCTGGAAGGATTTCTTTATGAATTCTCAGTCAGGGGTTAAATGGTGGTTAATTTAGTAAATGAATGAGATGGCTGAGAGATATGTGTGAATTGTTAATATTCACATAATAGTCTTCTTTCTCCTGCTTTGACTGTTCCTATATTCATGCAGCCTAGTGTCCATAGGGAGAGAACCCAGTGCTGATATAGAGGGCACATTTTTAGGCAAAGGAGAAAGAATTCTTCCTCTGTTCCAAGAAAACACAAACTCTGCCATCTTTTCCATTGGAAACTTAAGGAATGTCAATATGAGATATTCAAGTGATTTAACAACCGGTTCTCCTAGTGACTGTCAGTCACATGACCAATGCTGCAGTGATAGGCAATTTCCTATGTACCTTTCCTCCCCCTCCCCCCCATCCTTGGGCTGACAAAATAAAAGCCCATCTAAAGATCATGACTGCCTGCCAAGCCTGCCTGCTGAATGCTGGCAAAAGGAGACTGGGGGGAAAGGAGGCTGGTAAAAGGAAGCTAGCGCACTGGGCCTTGGGGACTGCAGGGAAGGCAGGCAAGCTTGCTGGGCGACGTGGGAGGCAGCGAGGCCGTGATTCGGGCCTTGCTGCTAGCAGGCTCACCCAGGCTGATCTGGGTCGTGTGGAGAGGACTGTGTGAATGTGCAAGGCAGGCAAGCTGGCTGGGTCACATGGGAGACAGCTAGGCCTGTATTCGGGCCTTACTGCTTGCACCCAGGCTGCCAGGCAGATCAGGGCAGCTCAACTGGGCCACGCAGAGCACGCCGTGTGGGATGCAGCTGAA